GTAGGTGTAGACATACGTGTAGATGTGGATGCAGACATAGGTGTAGCTGTAGATGCAGATGTTGTCTCACCAACCAGGAAGCAGGCCCAAGGGCACCATTCCAGCCTTGTCCCTCACCATGTGTCTCTAGGGCCTAATATGGTGCCGGCCCAGGGTCGGTGGTCAGTGAGGGCGTGGCAAGTGATTCAAATGAGGTCATGGCAGAAGGGTGCATAAGAACTGCCAAGGGCTCCTGGTTTGGCAAGGACGTAGGTGTAGCCATAGCTGTGCATGGGGAGGTGGAGTTGGAGGGGCAGACTACTTCATGTCCACACACTCTTCCAGATCATGTCCTTCCTTGGCCCCCCATGACCAAACCCTGCCCCCAAGGTGCTCCAGGTGCCCTGGCATGGGGCGAGGCTGGCCCTCATTGCACTGGCTGGAGTCAGGAGCAGCTGACTGTGTGTAGCACACAGTGACGACGGTGTCACCTGAATATTGCTCAAGCCCCGTCTGAATGTGTGTGGATCTTTCTGCTTGTATCCCTTTTTCAGAAAATGCATGTTATGGATTGAATTGTGCTCCCCACAAATGTGTGTCAACTTGTCTAAGCCATGATTCCCAGTATTGTGTGGTTGTCCACCATTTTGTGATCTGATGTGATTATCGTATGTGTTGTAAATCCTAACCTCTATGATGTTAATGAGGCAGGATTAGAGCCAGTTATGCTAATGAGGCAGGACACAAGCTACAGGATTAGGTTGTATCTTGAGTTAATCTCTTTTAGGATGTAAAAGAGAGAATGGAGCAGAAAGGAGAGGGACCTCATACCACCAAGAAAGAAGAGCCAGGAGCAGAGTGTGTCCTTTGGACCCACGCTCCCTGAGCTGAGAAGCTCCTAGACAAGGGGAAGATTAATGACAAGGACTTTCTCCCAGAGCCAACAGAGAGAGAAAGCCTTCCCCTGGAACTGGCACCCTGAATATGGACTTCTAACCTCCAGGACTGTGAGAGAATAAATTTCTGTTTGTTAAAGTAGAACTTGTATTTCTGTTACAGCAGCACTAGGTAACTAAGACAATGCATTTAGTTTTACACTTACTTGTAATATTGAAGGGTTTTGCCTTAGCCCTCTGCTGCCCGTGTTTCAGAGTGAGCCCTCTAAGCCCTTTGGAGGGGACAACCCAGGACAGACGTGGCAGTGGCCTACCTGTCCACCTTCTCCAGGACCTCCGCGACGTTGCTCAGGGCCTTCTGCAGGCGGTGGCGCAGGTTGTGCTGGAGCAAAGGCAGACAGGTGTTCCACTGCGTGGTGCACACCACGTGGATGACGCCAGGGTCGCCCAGGCGCACGGCGTGCTGCAGCGCCACGTCCAGCCTCTGGATGATGCTCAGCTGGGCCTGCAGAGAACACAGCAGCTGCTCCGTGACCACCTAGGAGCCCACAGAGCCACGAGGCTGTGGCGCCACGCACCTAGTGGAACTGGGCACTGCCAGTCACACAGGGGGGGTCAGACACGGGGGCGGGGGCAGCAGGCAGGGTCAGGAGACGCTCACCAGCATGGAACTTGAAATCCATCATACTGGCCAGACTCACCGTCCTGAGCCTGTCTTCAAAAATACCCAAGTGACCTTTTCTAGAAGGCAGCAGCTGCCTGATAGAAAACTGTCCTGGGTTTATGTGAACGTCTGCCTTCCGAGAAGCGACTTCATCAGAGTCTGTCTACACCCCATCTACATCTCGGTCACTGGGCAATGCGCCCGTAATGCTACCACCCAGGAGCATCTCCTCCACTTGTGCTAAAAGTGCCTTTCCTGGGGGCCAGGTAGCAGCCGCGGGCTCCCACACCCCACCCCACCATCTGCAGCAGCTGGCCCCTCCGTGATGCCGAGGCCGCCATGGGGGCCGCTGGGGACCATGTGGTGGGGATGGCAGCTGGCTCTGGTGGCTCAGGTACCATTCAGGTGTCCTAGTGCTCCATGTTGTCACCCCACTCACAGATGGGGAAACTGGTGAGAGGAATTGGCCCGAGAACCACCCTTTACCTCCACACCCGCTAGGCTGTCGTCGGCACTCTCCAGCCTGGCACAAAACCAACTCTCACCCACTTAGGAAATTTGCAAAATAATTCCATGTGCAGCGACTCTTTTTAAAGATTTACCTCCACAGCAGCTCGGATATAGACTTTAATTTTATTTTCAAGTTTTAAAGCTTCAAATTCACACTCCAGGCATTCAATTTCAATCAGCCTCCCGGGATCCTGTAGGATACAAATGGGTTTTGAATACATCAAGATTTTTAATGAAAACAATCACTTACTTTCATTAACCTTAAAGACCATTCCCAAGATATCACTAATGTCAAAAAAATCAAACACGTCGGCATCGAGTCGATTCCGACTCATAGAGACCCTACAGGACAGAGCAGAACTGCCCCAAACGGTTTCCAAGGAGCAGCTGGTGGATTTAAACTGCTGACCTTTTGGTTAGCAGCCTGAGTTTTGAACCACTGCGCCACCAGGGCTCCATCACTAACGTACCACGTAGAAATTCAACAAATAAAAATCTTAAGATGATAAAAAGATACATAAGACAAACTTAAGATGCTTCTGAAAGATTAAAAAATGCAAGCATTTAAGTGAGAAAGCTAATTTTTTAACTCTTTTAATAAAGGCAAGCAGGGAGTTAATTTCCACGGACCTTGACATTTTAAAACTTAAACAAACTTCACACAAATTCTCCCTTGTAAATTTGTTGGCCATGTTCTCTTTCGCTTGGTCACGGCCATGCTGGGAAGAAGAGCTGGGCCCACGAGTGCAGGAGCTCGGGTGGCTGTGGTCCGTGTAGGGCCAGTCCCCCTCGGCCAGGGGAGCAGGTGCCTGGGAGCTCAGTGGCCCAGCCTGCTCTGTCTCCCCCGCCCGTCCCACCCTGTGACCATCAGCACCAGCACAGCTGGGATGGACCGGGAAGCAGCACCCTTCTCTGCACTTGTGCTCCCAGGTGCAGCGTGGTCTCTTGGAGAAAGTCCCTAGGCCTTGGCAGCGTACTAACAACAGGAGCTGGCCGGGGGGAGGGACAAGAAGGTCAGCTCACAAGAGTCACGTCTTCACACCTGCTGTGCTCAGGATCTCGAGGTCCATTCTTCAGACACACAAAAAGTTTCCAGCCTGCACACCTCTTCATGGTTAGCGCGTGAGGCCTCGGGACACCCCTGAGGTGTGAGGAGACGACAGGACTGGGGAGAGCCTGTGGCCTCACAGACGTGCATCGACGTCCTGGAGCTCTGGGGCACAGGGTGACGCTCTGTGTCACATGTGGACCCCACAGCAAGCTCCCAGAGTGCCATGTCTGAGGTTTAGGGGTCACGGTGACAGCAGGGTCTCCTGAGTGTCAACAGACCAGATGATCCTGGCTTCCCCTTACAAACCCCACTGGGAGTTCACCATGTTGGAATGCAGCATTAGGCAAGGGCTTCCAGCCGGGTTAGCGGCATCAGCTCCCAGGCCCCTGCTCCTTTGCCCTCACCTGCTGGGCCACCCTGCCCGCCTACCTGAGAGGCACGCCTGCAGAAAGGCTGCACAGAGACAGGAGGAATAATAGACATTCCTTGTATTTCTGTGAATCTTAAATTCTTTAAATTGATCCCAAGTTGGGGTATCAGTTACTTCGTTTCCACCCATCTCTCAGGCAACTTTGAATTAAGACACCACAGTGGCTACTCTTTAAAAATGCATCAAGGTTCAGAATTGAACATCATTTACATCCTTAACATTAGTGAGCTTTTAATTTAAAGTGAACCTTGGGAAATTCTGAACGTCTAGCAGGCAGGAACTGATTAAACAATTATGATCCAAGCACACGATGCCATCTAGTGCAGGCATTCAAAGTCACGTCTGCAACACATCGTGAGCAGAAAAACGCCCACCGCCCGGCACGAGCTTTAGGGCTGGGCATGAAGCCTGCACACACCACGACCCAGGGCGCGCGGGGAAGCCGGCGCGTCATCACAGAAACGTCGACAGAGGCTGTTTATGTAGGCTTATCACCAGGGAGTCTAAAATTTTGTCCTTGAAAGTGTTCTGTATTTTTTTTATAGTTTTAATAGGTGCCATTATTATAATTTCAGGATGACAATACCAAAAAAAAAAGAAAAAAAACAAAACAAAACCAAAAAAAACAAACCCATTGCTGTCGAGTTGATTCCGACTCATAGCAACCCTATAGGACGGAGTAGAACTGCCCCACAGGGTTTCCAAGGAGAGGCTGGTGGATTCGAACTGCGACCTTTTGGTTAGCAGCCAAACAATAGCAGCACTTTAAAAGCCTTTATTAGGGCATCTACCCTGCCTCAGTCGTGAGGCTCCATGAGCAAGAGGAGGAAGCCACATGCCTAACAAGAAATTAATTTCCGTATTTCAGTTGACTCTTTTATTTACTGATAATTCATGAGTCTCTTTTTTACAGCTTTATTGAAGTCTAATTGACGTATAACAAACTGCACATATTTAAATTGTTCCAGTTAGTCAGCTTTGACATATGTATAAACCCATGAATGTCACCACAATTGAGACATGAACACACATCACCCCCAAGTTCCCTCGTGACCCCTTGCCATCCCTCCCTCCTGCCCTTTGTTACCCCCACCCCCAGGGCTTCTGCTTTCTGAGCTAGAGATTAGTTTGCACGTTCTAGAATTGCCTGTAAACGGTATCACAGCACACGTGCTCTTTTTCTCTCGTTTCTTCCCCTCACACGGTTGTTTGGAGACCCACCCACACCCTGCATCTCTCACTAGCTCGTTTCTGGTGATTGCTGAGTCGTACAGGTGCTCCAGAGTGTGGGTGTGATAACACAAGTTTGTTTAGCCAGTCACCTGTTGTTAGATAGTGGGGCTCTTGCCAGTTTTCCACTATGACAAATAAAGCTGCCATGAACATTCATGTACAAGTATTTGCATGAACAAATGCTTTCATTTGTCTTGGTTAAATACCCAGGAGTAGAATGGCTGGGTTTTATGGCACGTGTATATTTAACTTTTTACAAAACTGCCGAAATGTTTTCCAAAGTGGTTGCACCATTTCACGTTTCCGACAGCAGGGAACAAGAGCTCCAGTTGCTCCACATCCCTGCAAACACTTGGCACAGGCGGTCTTTTAATTTTAGCCATGCTAACAGGTGTGTAGTGGTATCTCACTGTGGTTTTAAGTTGCATGTTCTTAATGACTAATGACGTTCAGCATCTTTTCACGTGCTTACTGGCCATCTTATATCTTCACTGGTGAAATGTCTGTTTAGAACTTTTGTGCATTTTTATGACATTGCTTGTCTTACTATTTTCAGAATTCTTTCTGTACTTTGGATATAAATCCTTTTATCAGATTTGTGGTTTGTAAGCATTTTCTCTGTCTCTGGCTTGCATTTTCATCCTATTAATAGTGTCCATCACAGAGCAGAAGCTCTTAATTTTGATAAAGTTCAATATATCAATTTCTTCTTCTATGGACTGTGCTTTTGGTAGCCTATCTAAGAATCCTTCACCTTCCTCAAGGTCACATTCTGCTTATGGTTTCTTCTGGAAGTGTTACGTTTAGGTCTATAAAGCATTTTCAGTTAATTTCTGTATATGGTGTGAAGTACGGATTGGAGGACTTCTTTTTTTTTTTTAATATTTCATTATTCAATTGTTCCTGCACTAAATGCCTTTACACTTTTGTTAGAAATCTGTTGACTGTATGTTTGTGGATCTATTTCTGGACTCTGTTTGGTTCCATTGATTGATGCAACTGTCTTCATGCCAAGACAACACTGTCTCAACTATTGTACCTTTAGAGAAGGTCTTGAAGGTAGACAGGGTAAGTCTTCTGACTTCCGTTTTTTCAGAGTTGTTTTTAGCTATTCTATGTCGTTTACATTTCCACATAAATTTTTACCCAGTTTATCAATTTCTTGGGATTGTACTGAATCTATTGTTCAGTCTGGGGAAAATTGGCATCTGACACTATCAAGTCTTCTGATCTATGAATGTGCTGTATCTGTCCAGTGATTTAGGACATCTTTGACTTCACTCAGCAATGCTTTGTCATTCTCAGTCCACAGGTCTTACACATCTTTTGTCAGATTCATCTTTAAGTATTTTACGGTTTTTTATGCTATTGTAAAATGTACTATTTTTTCCAATTTCAATTTCTGACTTTTGCTGTTAATATGGAGGAATATAATCAATTTTTTTACATATTGACTTTCTACCCCACAACCTTGTTAAACTCACTTATTAATTCTAGTAGCTTTTTTTTTTTTTTTTTTTTTGTAGATTCCATTGGATTTCCAAGACCGTTTATTTCTTCCTTTCCAGTCTGGATGTTTTTTATTTCTTTTCTTGACTGACTGCACTGGGCAGAACCTCCATCCCCAGATGGAACACCCATGGTAAGGGCAGAGGTCTTCCCCTTGTCCCTGACCTCAGCACTCAGTCTTTCATCATTAAGTATCATGTTAGTTGTAGATTTTTCATAGATTCCTTCTAGCAGGTTGAGGGCCCTTTTGCTCATTTCCTATGTTTCTTATTGTCTGTACTACGTAACGGGTACTTGTAAGTGTGGTCTTGTAGCTGTATTTTGCAATGAGCTTCCTGAGGGTCAGCCAAAGTCTCATACTCACGGTAACCTGGGGCTAACACACAGCAGTGCTCCATCGATCAGTGAAGTCAAGCGTCACCAAGGCCCACTGTTCTGAGAGGGTCATCCTCCTAACGCATCCATCCCGGCACGTAGCCGACAGTTGTCAAATACTATGTATTACGTTCAAAATGCTCAATGTTAACCACTAGAGTAAACCTTTGCTCTATGAAAGAGCCTTTCATTTCTTAAAAAATTAAAAACAGATAGACCTGAAACATGCACTCTCATATTCTTTTGTGGGGAGGACAGAGCTTTTCCCAGGGGGGAGATATTGTAATGCGTATTTAAGAATCTTTAAGTGAGAATTCCTTGTGATTTCATGTCAATGAACCTACCTTAGGGGAAAATCCTGAATGCAGAAAACAAGTCTCATGCACAAAATGTTCAATATAGCATTTTACATGATAAGCAAAAAACCATATGTGATTTCAGTGTCCAGCACCGGGGGATGAGAGAGTAAGCTATGGATCATTCATGGTGTATAATACTGAAGTGACTTACAAACAACTGGCAGCATGTGGGCCAGTACCTGCGGGAACAGGCAAAGAGAAAGGGGTAGGATGCAAAACTGCACAAGCCGCAGAACCCCAGCTATGTAACACGCACGCTAACAAGACTGGGGGAGCTTCCCACCGACACACGGTAGTCCTTTTGGTGACCGTTGTGTGAATCACTCGTTCCTCCAATGTCCTGACCCACAGCGGGCACCACGGGCACCACGCACTTACTGCCTTCTCGTTCTCGATTTTCTTCAGGTCTGTGATGCAGCCAGAAGCAATCTCCTCGCATTTCAAGGTCAACGAAAGACGGGCTAGTTCAAAGACCAAAAGAATCCTGGAAGCAAACAGACACCAGCCATGGGTCAGTTGGGTGTGACAGGAAACACATTGCACGGTAGAATATACCTCCAGTCAAACAAGGGTTTCACTGGAGGCAGGAAATATGGACGTTTCCGGGGAGATAAAAACATAACCACGAAGGAGAGGTGAAAAGGAAGTGTGGGCGTTCCAGAGATGATAGAAAAGGGGGAGTCGGTGGAATGAGCACCACGGAGGGGAGAGTCTGGGCTCAGCCCAGGCCTTGGAAGCATTGGGCCATTTCCACACGCGACCCCACTCCACCTGCGATCCTTGCCCAAGCTGGGCCTTCACGTGACACTATTCGAGCCTCCACCCTCTCTCCTGGGCACTGATGCTGGACTTCGTGGGCATCAGAGACAGTGCTGCAGCGCTGGGTGAGAGGCCGTGTTTCTCTCAGTTTGCAGCTCACATGCGGGTGAGGACCGTGGGGGGCATGTGGCCTGTGCTGCTGTGGCACTTGGTGCTGTTGCACACATGACCCTTCCCAGGAGCTCAGTGCAGAGGGGTCAGGATCTGCACTTTGCAGGTGGCGGGGGGGCACAGGCTTGGGCGGGGTGGGGGGGCGGTAAATGCATCTCCTGACTCCAAACTCGGCCTCTTGCAATGCAGGCCAACTGTCCAGTGGCATCAGCATTCCCGTTATCGACGGGATCAGAAGCTGGCGCTCACCTGGAGCAGAGGCACAGTCAGTCAGTCACATTCTTCACCAACAGTGCTCGTTCACAGTAATAACTCACAGAACAGAACACCTCATTCCCCACATGACGTGACAGGAGTATGGTCATGGAAATAGTAAAGGCTCAACAGAGGTGACAAAGTCTGAGCTGGGCACAGAAGGAGGACAGTTGGTGAATGGAAAAGAACAAGAGGACTTACACCAGAGCACAGCACAGACAGGCAACGGCATTTCCAAAACAGCAACAAACAGTTAAGAGACATGGCTGAAAACAATTTTATCTTAAAAATACCCAAAAAGCAGACTTCTGCTTCCAAACATGAGGGAGTAACAGGGAGATTTACCCTCCTGCCTTAAACAACCAAAACCGCAGAGAAACACATGAGACAACTGTGACGGGCAAGGGACAACAGGCAGAGCAGGACAGCCATCCATGGAAAAGGGGGGGACAAATATGAGGCAGGTGGCCCTACAACTGTCTCAGCTTCCTGTACGGGGGAGGGCTTCCAGGCCCATGAGTGGGGAGGGCACCCAGGCAGAGCCTCCAGTCTCCTCAGTGGAAGAGAAGAGTTGAGAATTTGGGAGGCCGAGGTGGCTGGAATCCAGGCAGAGACTGGGGAGAACAGAGCCACACAGAGAGATGACAGATGATTCCCTGAGTCTGCAGCTGGGCAGACCCACCGGAAAGGAGGAATAGAGTGAGGAAAAGTCCACATTCCCACAAGCTGAAGTGGGAAAAAACCCCATAATATATGAGATATTGAGTAGAATATTCAGAAGAGGACTGCCTCAGATTAAGGCTGCTCTGATCACACCTAAAAGCACTTAAAGAAAGCCTCAAAAGGACTGAACTGTTTCCAAGAAACTTAGTGCATCCTAGAACAAGCTCAAGAATATGTACAGGAATGCAGAAACATCCAGGACCCAACAAGGTTCTCGTATCCGATGACAATGTCAGAAATGACCAGACATGCCCAGAATCAGGAAAATACAACCCAGAATGAGGAGAAAATGCAAGTGACAGAAACAGACCCAAGACAAATCAGGCGACAGAACTAGTGGGCAAAGACATAATAGTTATTATAACTAACTTCCATATATTCAAGAAGGTAGAGGAAAGCAGGAGCATGATAAGGACAGATAAGGAAAATATAGAAAAGACCCAAAAAGAACTTCTAGAGAGGAAAACTACAATGTCTGATATGAAAAGTGCACTACCAGATGGGACTAACAGGAGATAGACAAGAAATGAAGAACACCAGAAATGGTGACTAGGATGTGGGTACTTACAAAACAATTTTTTCTTGTCTCTTTTTTTCCCTTATTCTTTATATATCTTTTAAAGATAATTGACTGTCGAAAGCAAAAGAAGTGAAAATGTATCTCAGGATTTATAACATAGATATGAAGTAAAATACATTTCAACAGTAGCACAGAGGCTGGGAGAGGGAAAATGGAAGCATCTTGTTGTAATGTTCTTACTTTATATATATTATATATTATATGAAGTGATTCCATATTACTTGAAAATAGACTGTGATGATACCATGAATCCTAAAACAGACAATAAAATTTTTTTCAAAAGGTATACTTACTAAGCCAATAAATGAGATTAGATGGAATAATAAATATCCAATTAATAAAAAAAGAAGGCAGAAAAGATGAAAAAGGTAACAAAGAACATATGGAACAAGTAGAAGGCAAAACATCTAGCAAGATGGTAGATTTAAACTCAAGAATATCAATAATCACAATGAATGTAAAAATAGTTAAAACTCCCCAACTGACACCCCCAATTAACAGGCAGACATTGTCAGATTAAATTCAAAATCAAGACTTAATTCTATGCTGCCTACAATAAACCCACTTTAAATATAAGGACATAAATAAGTCAAAAGTGAAAGGATGGAAGAAAGAGACCATGAAGACAGTAGTCAAAAGAAAGCTGGGGTGGCTATATTAATGTGAGTGCAGTTTATCTCAGGAAGGTGAAGTTGGTTTAACATTCAAAAATCAATTTAATCCATCATACTAGCAAACTAAAGAAATATATATGATCATCTTAGTAGATACAGAAAACAGCATGTCAAAACTCAACACCCATTCACAATATAATTTCTCAGCAAACTAGAACTCCTCAACCTGAAGAAGGATATCTGCAAAAAACCTACCACTAACATTGTATTCAATAGTGAAAGAGTAAATATTTTCTCCCTAAGACCAGGAACAAGACAAGGATGTTCACTCTCACCAGTTGTATTCAACATTGTACTGGAAATTCGAGCAAGCGCTTTAAGAATATAAGAAAAAATAAGGCATATATATCTCAAAAGAAGAAAGTAAAACTGTCTATATTCACAGATTACATGATTGTCTACAAAGAGAGTCCTAAGAATCTACAAGAAATTTACTAGAATAAGTGAGTTTAGCAAGGTTGAATGATACGAGATCAATATACAGAAATCAGCTGTTTCTATATACTAGAAGTGAAAAATCAGAAAGTAAAATTAACAAACAGTACAGTTTACAAGAGCAACAAAAATCTAAAATACTTAGGGATAAATGTGAGAAAAGATGTACACTGAAAAACTGATGGGAGAAATCAAATACCTAAATAAGTGGATAGATACACTATGTTCAAGGACCAAAAGATTCGATATTGTTAAGACGTCAGTTCTTCCCAAATGTATCTACACATTGAACACATTCCAAATCAAAATCCCAGCAGGGATTTTGTAGAAACTGACAGGCTGATTCTAAACTTTATACGGAATGCAAAAGGACCTATAATATATAATAGCAAAAACATCTTTGGAAAAGAACAAAGAAGGCCCACAATACCTGATTTTTAAGAGTAAGACTAATCACAAGAGCTCCTGGTGGCACAGTGGTTAAGAGCTATGGCTGCTAACCAAAGGGTTGGCAGCTCGAATCCACCAGCTGCTCCTTGGAAATTCTGTGGGGCAGTTCTACTCTGTCCTCTAGGGATGCTATGAGTCAGACAGCAATGGGTTTGTTCTTGTTTGAAGACTAATTGCTAGAAAAAGACATCATATTTGGTAGAGGGTCAGCAAAAACAAGGGAAACCCTCAATAAGATGGACTGACACAACAGCCCCAACGATGAATTACCACATAGCAGTGATGACCAATATGGCACAAGACTGGACAACGTTTTGTTCTGTTACACCTCGGGTCACCGTGAGTCGGAACCAACTTGCAATTAACAACGACAACATAAAGCTACAGTAATCAGCCTTGGCAATACTAACATTTTGGACCAGATAATTATTTGTTGAGGCGTTAGGAGGTGTCTGCTCTGTGCATTGCAGGATGTTCAGCAGCATCCCTGGTCTCTACCCACTGGATGCCAGTAGCATCCCCAGTAGTGACAACCACACACTTCTCTAGACATTGTTAAATGTCATGCTGGGGCCAAGTCCACACCTTTTCTGCCCTTTGCTAGGTAATAATCATAGTCTTACTTCAGAAATATGAACGGCCAGTCTGTTGTAATGATGAGACTCCAGTCTTGCCTTGGTATTACCATCCTCTCCTCTCTCCTATCTTGGGTTCCTCCTGGTGGGAAGCCTGCTTTGGAAAGGAGTGTGGGTCCTTCTGCTCCCCACCATCCCTGCCCACCACCATCTGCTCAGCCCCAGGACCTCCAAAGGCTCTGCCTTGGCTGGAAGGCCCCACCTGGCCTCCTGACCTCTGGCCTCTTGGTCCTGTACCTGTACTCACTCCTGTGTTCCAGCCACACAGACTACTGGGCAGATCAAGAAAAAGGAACCAGGAAAATTATAAATCACTGGTTTTCAATCCTTTTTTGTTGTTGTTGTTTTAAACTGACAGAACATTTTCCCCACCAGAATTGCAGATTCAGAAGCCCACTCAGGTGGAAAAAGTATCCACAAGGCCTCTCACAGAGATGAGGACTCTGAGTAGTTCAGGCTTTGAGGAGGGAGATGCCGCACTGGCTTGGCACACACCTTCTCTCTCTCCCAGGGCCCAAGGGCACCAACCAAATGCTGAGTGCACACTCAGCCCCAAAGAAACATAACGTGTCGCAATCAGACCTGGTTCTGACCATCCTCTCTGCCCACAATGCACTAAAACCAAACATTAATGCAAACATGAAGCCATAGAGACACTGGAGGGAATAGAAGCTGTTCTGAGGAATCTGCAGGGTAGGGAGGGCCTGCGAGGCACACAGGTAGAGCAGAAACCACAGGGATGAAAGGCTGGTTCCCAGCCAGGCGAATGGCAGGGACCAGCTCAGTGGATCCTGGGACCATA